TTTTTTGGCTCCCAGGGTTTTGAGCTACCATTCTTAGGTCTCCATTGCTTGTTAAATAAATTAATGGTTCTTGCACCTTATCATCACAATATGTCTTTCTACACTGTGTAATCAAGAGACTAACAAAATTAATCAAATCCTAGCAAGAAGATTTGATTGTGGAATTGAAGGCAATTCCTTTAACAAACCAGAGAACAAGGCACAATGACCACATTTCTTTTTTGATTCCCATATTAATTAAATTAGTCTCTACAATGCTCATGGATTTTTTAAAATTTACACTCACTTGCAGGGTGACTTGACACGAAAGAAAAACCCAAAGAAAAGCACCCCCACTCACAATTTTTCAGCTGTTGTTGCATCACAGTGCTGCAGTATCATGTGTTTTCAGTTGCACTCTGTGGTTGGATTGATAAAGAGGTTATATGAAACTCTGGCAGATGGGGGAGTTAGAATGACAAGAAAAAATAAGAAACAGTCTTAGGAATGCTTACTCAGCCCCTCATAGCCCTTGCTCACCTGTCTGTTGAAAGAGATATCTGATATTCAGTTTAGTTTGGAAAGTAGTTTTCAATAAAAGGCCTGAACTCTTGGTTTAGTGGTGTGTTGCTGGAGTTTCTGATTATTAACACATACTGTTTAAGGGAAATTATGTACAGATGAGATATTTAACGTTTTTGTGTTTTTAGCACTTAAGACAAAAAATCTTGAATGTTGACTGCAGTTTGTCAACACAACCCAAATTTTAATCTATCACACAATCAATCTATTTAATCTATTCAACAATTGTAATAACACAACACAGTTTGAGGTGTTGTCTGCTGGAGAAAATTCCTGAACTCCTCATTAAAAACCACACTGAGAATAGAAGCAATTTAAAGAAAATGATTTGGATTCCACTTAACTATTTGAAGCAGCAAGAAGAGCAACTCACACACATGTACATAAACACACACTCACCACATGTGTGTTTCCCAATCAGTAGTGAGACACTCTTGACACAGTTCCTCCCAGGTGTGTCTGCTGCTCTTGATGCAGCCTGAAAACAGTCAGTGGGACTAAAAACAATGCTGCAAATAAATGATTCTTTGAACAATCTAGTTTAGGTGCTTAGCATTGCCATTCATAAGAAATTCAAGGATAATACCAAATTCCTGTCCCAGCCTTTGTCCTGATATTTTAAACTGATGATGTGGATTGTCTGCATGGGACACAGCACAAAACAGCAGCATTGTACACTGACTCATTCTATGGTGTGCTTGTCTAGACATTGTACAAGACGTGTCACATGACCTTAAATTGCTCAAACAGTCACTGCTGCTGTTCAGGTTTCTTTCATTATGTCTGCCTTGGCTTTTGACAATGGAAAATCTGGAGGATGGTCATTAACTTATTTCATTAATTAACTCAGTCATTTTCTTTTATGTGTAATATAATGCTGAATAGGACAGCAGAATATCACAAAGTGGCTTATATAGAAGCAGCTAAGATAGCATTTTTAGAAGTATAAATGTAATGTTTACATCACTTAACTTTTTAAATACAAAGGTTAAATGGATCACTCTGGAATAAATGTCTGAATAAAGCATTTTATGGTATTATATAAACTATATGTCTTGTCAGAGGATTAACTGAAAATAGGCTATTATTAAACTTAAATGTACATTTACATAAAAGCAAACTAGAAATTTTCTTCCATACTGATATATAGCGCATATGTTTAAAACTAAATATGTAGTTTTCTGTTTGTTGCACATTAAAACATCCCTGTGTTACATCCAGTTACCCAGAACTGTCCCACCCATGGGCGACAGCACCCCTCAGCAACCTTATTCATTAGTACAACACATTAAACAACACTAGAAAACTTTAAATTTTATGATTTCACCTATGTGAGGATTTAGGCTCCACATATCACTGTAACAGCTTTTGGCAATTTAACAAACAGAACAATCGTTTCCTAACTTTCTAGATTGTTTGTATCCAAGATGTGTATCCAAATGGCCATAGCTGAACATCTTTTTATTACAAGATTCCAATGGACAAAATCCACCCAAGAATTAGTCCAATTTGTCATGGAAAAAAGTCCAAAACCAGGGGCAGTTATTTTCTAGTTCACAGCTAATGCTAACCGGTTAGCTTCCGCATTGTGGTGTTTGGTAGGCTTCACATGTAAACAAAATGGCCCATTTACATGTATATAAAGCTCGCATTGGTCAGTTAGGATGTCAATCAATGTAGTCAGCCAACCGACTCGGCGAGGGACAGCCTAACTTTTCTGAATGTTGCTCTAGTCAGGCGTATACTTTGAAGAAAAAAAAAAAAAGTCGTATACTTTGACAGAATGATTGACAAGCCTACTAACCAGTGATGAAATTACGAGTTTAAAGACTTATTATAGACAACATAATGTTTCCTACCCTTTTGAAAGACCTTTTAGTGATTTATTGTTATTCATTAGAAGTCTACAGAGTGAATAATATCTACATAGTTTTCCACTTTCATTATTTTGTGAGATAAACAATGAGTAATTTACTCTGTTATATTAATTTGTACAAAAGTAACAGCTGCTTTAAAAGAATATATGCTTGTAAAAATGGAGGTCCACATGGGAAAAACCTCACAGACAACAAAAGCTCATATTTAATGTCACATCAACTATTTTATCATAGAGGTGGTTCAGACAGGTGTGTATATACTGTATATTATGCAATAAAAGTGACAAAAGACTTAAAGAGAAAAGTTACAAAGACAGAAAAACAAAACATGACATTTTGTTTGAAATTTATGACTTTTCAATTAAGCTCTCAGTTTCAACAAGGGTTTTCTGAGTCACTTGCTTTGCACAGATTTGCCATTTTTGGATGGAGATTTCGTAGTTTTCCATACATTGAAGTTGCCCCAGTTGCTGCTTGAATTTTTCAATTTGAAAGTGACTGACCTCATCTGCCTATTGTAGCCAAACTGCAGGAACTGAACATTATCAGTTTGCAGTGTGTGTAGTAAATCTGTGCAGTACAGTGCATTCTGTTTAAATTAATTCAATCTCATAATCAAGAAAATGAATGACATGAATTAAACTTTTCCCCCTCATATCACATCAGACATCAGTTCAACTAGGCTCAAAACATCACATCACATTTACGTTGGATTCTGAGTTATTACTTTGCTAAGAAACTGTGATAAGTGCTTCTGATTTTAGGTGGTGAGGTGCTCCAGCTGGGTGAGAGCAGGCATCTGGGAATGATACTGGTGCACTAGGTGCTAATCATTCTTCACGGCTGTTTTTATGGACCCAATTTTCAGTAAACCATTGGGATTTGTGCCTATATTAAAATGATTCTATCTGCCTCACAGCTCTTTTAAACCTTTTATGAACCTCACATATAGGCCTAACCCATATTATTTATGATTCAGTCTATACTGTACATTATCTACTATCTGACTTGAACTTACACCCTCAAATTGTGTGCCATGGTGTCTGTGACAACCTGTAATAACTTCATACAAGAGAACACAAGTGATGCAAAAGGATCATGTTGCACTACAAAGATCTGAATGACAGCTCTTTTTAATTCCGTTTGCACTTGTTAAATATGCTCAGAATGTTCTTGGCATGCAAAACTACAGTATAAGCTTCAAGTGTCTGGATTAGGAAGCCAAATGTTCTTAAGAAGTAAAGTTCCACTTGGTGGTTTAGGCTGAAAAGACAATTTCAGTTGTATATCAGGTATAAACAACTATAAAATAAACTGAGCTGGGTTAAGTGTGTCAATTGGAAATTACATTGCTGGCAGTCATCCTAACATGTTAGGATGACTGCTCTTCTCATGTCTAAAGTATATGAGAAGTAAACAGTACACACATACAGTAAATACATGTCAGACAATTAACATTTTAGTAAAGGGTAGACCTAGCAGGAAAATTATGAACCTAATATTTTTGTGTGAAATGGCCAGCTTGTCATACAAAAGTGTAAGAACCCATTTTGCACACTTGGATCCAAATGAAAGGCCACACTTTCTCAGATTTGTTCTGTTGATCATGAACTTCTGTTGGGTTAGCTTGATTCAAGGTGACAATGATGTGAGGGGCAAACTCAAGGAGAAAGAAAGGTGAGCACATTGTTGCTGAAAATGACATTGAAACAAAATGAGACTGAGGGGAGGAGGCTTTAAAATTCAAGAAATCAGTTTTTCAATAAGCACATCTATCCTCTTTCAGTAGTAATATGTAGCTGCTAAAGCTTAAACTGCTTGCAGAGTGCATGCTCCTCTGACCCTTCCTGCTGGCTGTCACCTCCTGGCCTGTCTCCTTCTTCCAATAAATCCAAAGGGGGCCATGTGTAGAGCTGACCCCTCAGTGAAAGTGCCATGGAGTGAACATCCCCCCTCTCTCTCCTCTCTCCCACCCTCTTTCTCTCCCCCACTTCCACCACCAGTCACTCACCCTCCCTCCCCCACGCAGCTATGAGTTTTCCATTTCCTTTTTTGGTGAAAAAATCTGAAACAGAGGCAGGGAGGAGGACATTTCACCAGTGCCTACAGGAGAGTGTCTCTGGCTGTCTGTGCATGTGTGCTTCATCAAGGCGATGAAACAGTCGACTCAGCATAAACAATAGTGTATGTATACACTTTTAGCCCCACACACATACAGGCACTCATTCTCCCTTTTACTATCTCACTTGTGCTCTTTCTCTCTCACATACACACCTATAAACACCAATACACTTTTTACTCTCTTGTATTACACACATATGGTTTCTCTAAGACTTTCTCAAACTCTCACTCTCATGCCCTTCCCCCACTGGACACAGACACAGACACACACACAGACACACAGATCTTTCCTAGAAAGATTTTTAAACATGCCAGAAGGGGTTTCTCTGGCTTAGACAGTAAACAGACATTTACAGAAAGCTATGATCTCATAAACCAGTAATGGATATTTAACTACAGCCACAGAATATAAAAACTGCCCAGTAAAGATCAGTTCATGTAAATTTATTCAATAAGGCTTCACAAATAAGACTCACCACTGTAGCATTTATTCATATCAATCATCATCTTTTTTACAATATGTTCATATTGTTATTACCTTGATGGCCTCTTTTCCATCTTAAAATGTATATTTGCCAACCTTGACTCACCAGCATCAAAGCTGAAATAATGAAACATAGTTTTTAATACTTTTTCACATACAAGTTAAAAACTATCAATAAGAAACAAAACACTAACAGCATTAACAGAAATAAAATAGAGAAAAATCATAGCAGATAAAGACATGCATACTCCTGCAATACACAATAATAATTCATATCATTTCAGCTTCTTTTAGGTTATAAATGCTGGCTCTTTGAGCAAAGGTGATACAAAGATTCATTACAACAAATGAAAAAGAAATAAGATGAAACTTTATGTAAAATCAGTGTCACGGCAAAGTTCAAAGTAGATACATGATGGCAATTGTGTTATAATGTGCACATATATGGTAGCAAGAGAATATTTTTTCCAAAGTGCAAATGATTTTATTGATACTTTCTATCAAAAAGTAACTATCCCACTGAAAGCACAGTCAGTTTTTTTTTCTGAATGTTCCTCTTGTTTTGACTTTGGCATATTTTAATTTAATAGAATTGATCAAATTTGTTCTGTCACACCTCCTTTTATGTCATTATATACAGTAACATGTTTAAGATACATAAAGCAGGACACATTATAGAAAGATAACTGACGTGAAAAAAGCAACATTCAGAATGCATAAAAATGCAGTTATAAGAGCATTAGAACAGTAACTACACAATATTTTGAAACTGCCGACTGTAAGGTTTATATACTATACTGTGTCAGTGTCTTGTCTTCTCTTCAGAGCCTGACCTCTACCTCAAGTGACAATTAATTTACATAAAATACAAAGAAATCTTTTGCAAAGTGACTAGCATTTTGCATTTCTTTGGTTCGATAGTACACTACATGTGAGAATGTTGTTCTTAAGGCACTCCATTTAGCCCTTTGGTTGAAGAGGAAATCATCATGGATGCAGCGCATGGATCCAAAAATGATTTTGATGACTAGCTCCTATATGAAAATGTAATACAGACGGGGACAAAGAGAAAGTTGTTTTCATGTAAAAATGACCTGAGAGGCAACATTGTTAGCCTGTGTTACTGTCCTCAGTAATGAGCTTGGTTGGGGTCTTGAAATGCAGTGACAAAGAGTGAAAAGTAAGTCAAGGGAAGGATGAGAATAGGGTAAATAACTGCTCTATAAGTTGCTGTGGCAGTCCCGGCACAGGATCCTGTCACCATCAGGGAAGAAGCCGGTGCCCACCAGTGAAATGGAGCACTGGGAGCAGGTAAAGCACGGCTGATGCCACTGGCGATCCTCAAATGAGATATACTTTCCTCCTCCAAAACCTGGGACAGAAGAACAGTGAAACAGAGATCAAACTCCGTGTCAAGTCTTGCTAAGTGGGCTTAACTAAACAATAACTAAAATTCTGAATATTTTCAAAAAAATTCAACCAAAGACACACATTGCAAAATCCAACAGGCGGCTGCCGATATTTACAGTATTTGTTATAATTCTTTGCACAGATTTATAAGTCAGTATTATAAATGATCTAGTTGAAACACAGTGATTTAATCTTGCCTGTGATGGGTTTGCTGCAGGCCTCACACTTTTTGGCGTACAGGCTGCCAAAGCACTTGAGGCAGTACGGGCTATCGTCTCTGGAGGTGAAGTGTTGACCCGCCAGCTGTGTCTTACAGCTGGTGCACACAAAGCACTCCTTATGCCACGGCTCATCCCGATAGGTCACACCACCTTTAGCCAGGGTCTACAATGAGACAGGGCAGACATCATGTGGAGTTCCTTTTTAATTCACTTTTAATTCTCACTTATGTCTACAATTCGCCTTCATTGCTTATGGGAACCATTTGGTTTCTATGAATAAAAATATGATGCGTCTTTTAATCTAGTTAACAATTATTACCTTTACTTTATAGTTTTGCTGACCTTTTTACAGCGTGTGCAGCGTGGAGCAAACTTTTCCTCATAGCAGGGCACACAGTAGTGCTCATCCTTGTCGGGAATAAAGGACTTTGAGCCAATCGGCTGCTCACAGCTGTGACAGATGAAGCAGCCCTCATGCCATGTAGAGCCTGCATACTCCAACTTTCTTGTACCTAGCAGAAAGAAGTGGAGTTGACAAGAGGCAGATGGAAAGAATGACAAAGTACAGAAAGAAACTCTGCTATTTTGTGTAGAATACATCTTTAATGTCTTTCATGATTGTTAAGACTTCTGTTATTGTACTATAAAATATTACAGTTGAATTACATGAAGGCATATAAAACTTGTTTTGCTTCACTAAGATTTATTCTATTTTAAGTCATAACAGCATAGGCCCCACACTTCTGGAAACTGGCAGCAGGCTTTACTAGAAAAGAAATAATGCCATTTTCCTCTGCGAGGCCTGAACCAATCCATCTTCTACCCTTTGGCTGTTGAGTTTTTTTAGTTGACTGGTGTATTCTTTGGTAGTGCAGCGGTTTGTGTGGGGCACGCGTTTGTACTGCTGTTGTCTGCAGCTCGCTAATGTTTCACAGCTTCAGGCTGTGTGCTTTGGTGTTCAAAACACAAAACCCCCTTCAAAAACATTCCAAGTTACAGACTCACGGGAAATAGAGTGGCTCAAGGACGACAACAGGAGGATTTTAGTTGAGTATTTTGCAAATACAAAATGTGAACCAATTCAAATCCAAAATAGACTTCTTCTATTTATTGGGGGTGATTTCACAGGCATTACAACACATTTAAAGGGCTTATAAAGTTATTAACTAAGTGCAGCATACAGTGGAAGCAAAGCCTCTTTTCTTGTAGAATGCACTTTTATACACATTTTGCCACAGTATGTGTACGTTTTCAGTGTGTCTCTCCAGCAAAGGTTTTATCATATCCAGTATATTTATTTTATTCTACTTGGCAAATAAATTGTTTCAGCCTCTGAAAAGAAACTCAAATATAGTCATAGTGCACAGTAGCAAGAACTAAACTCTGTGTTTGCATTCTTTGGACTCTGTGTGTCATGGAGCTTTAAGATTCATTACAAAATGTAAATTTCTTACCCATCACAGTGCTTTTTATGCTCATGATGGTTGGACATCCCTGAGCTCTTGAAGACCCCTCCAATATTCTTAGCATTTTACTGGCTTACTTGTGGACTCACATGGAAAGGAAAGTTGGGAGCTCTTATGCTCTTCAGTCACAGAGCACGATAATGTTCACTGTATCAAAAGTTAAAACTGAATTAGGTAATTTGGTGAGTGAGCCTTTTTTATGCTGCTCTTCATACAAAAATTACATTCATTAGTTTCCTTAGTACTCACCATTGTCAGAATGTTTATTAATTGTATTTGTTTTAATGCTTTAAGCTACTGTACCTGATTTAGTGTTTTATAGGGTTTCTTTTAATTTTATTATCAGTTGCTTGCTTGACTAATGAGAGGGTGTTATGGAATTATTTGTATTGCTTGCATCTGTGTTTGTCAAATCTTTGTCAACGATTGATATTGTTGCCTGTCTTGGCCAGGAAATTCTTGAAAAAGATGCTTTTAATCAGAATGATATTTTCCTGGTTAAATAAAGCTTTAATACATATTTAAAATGTTTTATTGTCACAGGAAAGGTTTACTCTTCAGAAGTGCAACACAACTGGTCTCACTAAGTTCACCTCCCACAGTGGTACAGATGACACAGCGATAGTCAAGAGTACTTTGCAGTACTGTATACGATTAAATAGTTATCTGGCCTAATGACAAGTTGTCATTGATCTTATCTCTCTCTCTGGCGATCTTTGCTACACAAGGTGACTTGCTTGAGCATAACTTATTGCAAATGTGCTTTGCAAGAAAACATGAGATGACCTACAGTGGAAATTTAAGGGGATGTCCTATTACTCCAGGAATAATTTTCTACTTTGTGAGGGCTGTGTAAGCTGCTAAAGGGACACTGGAATTACTGACTTGCTTATCTTTTGTTATCATCAGTCTGCTGGAAGCCTGCCAGCCCAGTGGCTCTGACTTACAGACCACAAGTGAAGCAGACTGGCAATTACTCTGTCACATTTAGCCCTGGCTGCTGGTCAGTCATGTGCAGTTGTCTGGTACTTTTTTGCCCCTTTCTATATTTGTTTGATATGTTACTTTACACTTTTCATGTGTCCCTGTTTCCTAGACTGCCATGTCTTCATTTTCCAAGTCATTTTCGTCTCTATCAGGGAATTTGAATTTGTATACTACATGGAAAACGAAGTGTGGACAATGAGGCCAATACTTAGGGTGATTGAATTACCACAGTACATGGCACTGTCAAATGCATTACATGCAAGTAACTCTTATTTGATTTCATCTCTCTCTTCCTGGATGTTAAGTTAAGCAAGTTCATTGCTCAACAAGATAACAGCCAGAACCCTACTTCTCAAACTTCCATAGAAAGAATATGTTTTGCACAAAGGAGTACATCATAGAGCAGAAATTAAATGAATCTTACCCTACAAAATCCCTATATGCAAAACCTTGCAGCACCCCATTTCTATCTTTACCTGGCATAACGATCTTGTCGCAGGCTACGCACTTGGATGAGAATTCATTACAGTAGCAGTCATTGCAGAGCAATGCGTCATCCTGGCTGGTGAAGGGCTCATCTGCCAACGAGCGATCGCAGCGGAAACAGCGGAAGCAGTGTTCATGATAATGCCGGTCCTCATAAAAGAGCTCCTGGCAGCAGAACAAAAGGAGACAACAAGGATAGTGAAGGTCATTTCATATGGTGATAAATAGATCATAAAAATAAAAGCACCTTCATTTTAATTTGTTTCCCCCAAAACATTTAACTTAACATGTTTTAAAGTTTCACAGCTATGAGGCACATAAGGGAAAGACTAAGACCAAACACCAACCAAGGTTTCTGGTTACAACAGGAACAGAGAGGAGTGCCAGAATGGTCTGGGTCAAACTGACACATGACATGTCTGCATATTAATGCCCTTGTTTAAACTAAAAAAGGTCTTAGAACAATGGGAGTGAACTGATTGTCTACAGGACACTGAGCCAAGAAAATGCTGGCTTTATTTACTGACCACTGTCCATGAGGGTGTTGATAACTCATAGCCATCCTTGGCTAAGTAAACTATAGCGATAGTAGCATGCCCCATTCTGTAAACTCCACCAAGTAGCGTGTATGTTGGCCTTGAATGATTCGCTTTATGTTAGTGTTTTCCATTAAGAGTAGATTAAGTTTTAACTTGACTGTGGGGAAGAGGGAGATGTTCCCTCATGCTGCACTTTGACAGTTTTAGATAAAATTAGCCTGTTGGCTTATGTGGACTTGGTAAAAATTGCTTGTGGAACTATATAGAACATGCCTAATTTAGCATGAATTATACATCAATAACATGAGAAAACTTCTGTTTGAGTTATCCAGGGCCATGTCAAAATATGGTTAAAAAAAGAATTAAAGGTAAATATGGTATTACTTTAGATGTGCCTTATCTTTGCCTAAACTGTTAATACATTGTGCACAGTGAAAAGACTGAGGTCATACGTGTGGTTTACTCTGATGTATGTATTACAGAAAATACATGTTAATGATAATTAACAATAAACATTTTCTGTTTTTAGTCAAAGCTTTAAAAATATTTTTGAATTGAAATTCTGTATGCACTACAGTTGATAGTGTTGTGCAGCAGAAAGCTGAATGCATGTCCGATCATGTCAAAATGAATGCCTTACCCTTGCATCATGGCCAATGAGCTCTTTGCACTCATCACATGTGTTTGAGAACAGGGTGTCATAACAGGGGATGCAGTACGGACTGTCCTCTGACTGGATGTACTTGCGGCCATACAGGGATTCTTTGCAATTGTCACAGTCAAAACGGTCAGCCATGATAATTTCCTCTAAGCCTGAAACACAGAAAGAAGAGAGCAACATTTTAAAATGCATGTTAAATGCAAACAAATCCAAAGCAAGAGAAGAGATGAGGACGATAAGAAAGGACAATAAAGCAGTAGTATAGGAGAGTCAGTAGAAAAGGAGAATCTTGAGCAATGATTCAGTCACCTTTTCCGGCACCGCAGTTGGATATCAGTATAGACTTTCACTGCCAATATTTATGTTGTAAATGCTTCAGCTTGTACCAGCCATGGAGCGGAGCTTAAACAAAACATGCAGTGCAAGTGGGAACAAGTGGAAAAAGAAGGACAGGCAGTGAAAGAGAGAGAGAGAGACATGAGAGGCAGTACATAAAGCCTATTAACTTTTATTCCTGTGTTATAAAAAAAGCAGTGGCTGCAGTGGGACGGGACAAGAGAGGGAGCTGTCACTTTGCTTTCTTTCAGGAACTACCATCTTCCTGTTGATGTTAGCAGTTTGAATCTGCAACCTAAAGATTAGAGCACCAATACAAACTGAATGTCTCTTGTGACTAAGTAAAAATAAAGTAGCATATTTTGCATGTGAAGCCCACACATCATACATTATGAGTGAGTATGGACCACCAACAGATACGGAGTTTTTGTGTGTGACACTTCAAGCTTTTTCAGCTTACTCCTTAACAAATGGCTTCGCAGAAAGATGCAACTACAGTACCATGCATACACAGATACAGAAGGTTTACTGTCTAAGAACATGGTTTTTTATTTATTTATTTTTCGTGATAGACCCCTTGATCATGACTTAGCACACAATAAAGTGACAGAATAATATTGTGAGAGCATTATGACAACAGTATCAAGTTGCCAAAACATTACAGCATGGCTGGAGGAAAGCCCAGTGATAAGTGATATAGCCCCTTGGCAGAGTGCATTGCTGGTTACTCATTCCCACCACCCAGTAATAATAATCGCCTCTAATAAAATTATCAACCAAACTCCTAAACTTGCCCTGTGTCTCCTGTCTTACACACACATATGCAAAAACATCCACATATCCAAGTGCACAAGAAGAATACACGCAAAGCATCAGGGAGACAGGTAAACACACACTCCCACACAAAAACACAGTGACATAGAAAAAGGAACAAAGAATCAAAGACAAACAGGATCACACAGGATCCATCAAAGAAAATGTTAGTCACAGACTCTCAAGTTTCATCTCTCTCAGCCTTTTGTGAGACAAAAGCACTTAATGAGTTGGGGTGAGAAAGTCAAGATCCAACAGACTTCACCTGCTCGCAGTCCTCATATTTTTAACCCACTGACAGGCTTTTTTCTGGCAAACCACCATTTCCTCAAACTAGAAAGGCAGTCTCAATTCCCACTGATGACCTTAAGACATAAATTAAACAGTGTCAATGCCTGGCAGCCCTGTAGCCATGTGTATACATGGCTCACATCACTACACTGCCATATACCTCTATGTAATGACTGAGTGGATACATTTTAAGTATGTGATGCCTCACATTACCCATCTAGAGGTTATGGCAAAATATCAGAATAAGGAGCTGTGGTCTGGCCTGTGTAATCTGCAGCAAGATGCTGAATTTGCAAGTTTGTGTTTTAATACCAGTTTCTGTACATTTGACACACCATGCATCAGAAAATCCCAGCAGGGTCACCATAAGCCCACATAACCACATTGTCAAAATGAGATCAACAAAGTATAGAGCTGAAAATGAACATTGTGACCTTAATGTTTCCCACATTGCCTGGTAGGTATTTGCTGCCTTTGCTTGTCAGGCAAGGGAATGAGACAAGTCATGACTGACAAAGCTAGGAAGCCAGTGACATCAGCTTTAATTGTGAAAGCAAATCAGGCCGCTGTTTATTGCACCCCACAATTTCACAAAGAAAATATGATATCATCCACACATCTATGTACTAAAAGGCAGCAGAAAGTAGATCATGAAGCTTTTTCACATAGGTAGAAATTCTTATGTCTTCTGAAAGTATGATGAATATTTGAATGCATGTGTCTAACTAGCTAATATTCGTCTCGGTTGACGTTTCTACAGTGCCTTGCGGAAGTATTCGGCCCCCTTGAACTTTGTGACCTTTTGCCACATTTCAGGCTTCAAACATAAAGATATAAAACTGTAATTTTTTGTGAAGAATCAACAAGTGGGACACAATCATGAAGTGGAATGAAATTTATTGGATATTTCAAACTTTTTTAACAAATAAAAAACTGAAAAATTGGGCGTGCAAAATTATTCAGCCCCTTTACTTTTCAGTGCAGCAAACTCTCTCCAGAAGGTCGCAAAGTTCAAGGGGGCCGAATACTTTCGCAAGGCACTGTAGGATGGATCATCATGCGGTTCCTAGTTGCATTATTTCTATCTACTAAAGGCCCAAGCAGGCGTGGCTAGTCTCCCTATGTTTTATAGTCTTCAGAGAGGTGTGAATTTGAGCAAGAAAAACTAGTTTGCCAGCAATCAGGTAAGATTAAGTAACGGAGAACTCACTAAAGTGCAGATGGGAATGCAACACACAACTGATTGCTCAAAGACTGATATGTAAATATGCATTACTTTAGAAATCAGAAGAAGGGCTTCTTTGCTTGTTCTGACTTCCAGGTTGTGTAGTGCTTTCATTTCAGAGAGACTAATTTAAGAGTATCAGAGTTTGAGAGGCCAAAGAAGAACCTGAAATGAACTCCTGATTGCAAAGACTCTCAAAGCAAGGTCATAACATCTGTGCTGTGACCCCCGGGGCACTGGGCTAAGACGTGACTGCATGCAGAAATTGCTGACCCACCACCCACTAGAAGACAGAAGACAAGACAAGGCAAGACCTGGGTCACAGTGAACTCCAGTGTGAAGGCCAGTTCTCACAGGGCTTTGTATCTACTACTGTATATTCCAGTTTCCCAGCAGATCTCCTTCTTGTCTAGGACCCAGTGACTAAGAACCCCATTCTGGGTTAATAGCATCCCCAAATACCAAAGATGTGACTGAATTCAGGCCCCTGGGAAAAGTGTGGGCTTTACCACTGCCTCCACACAGGACAATGGTCCAGAAATACTATAGTTTAATTATAGTATTGCAGCACAAAGCAGGAATCTTTGTTTTTAAAAAAAAAGGCAACAGTGCATTCCATTCTCCGTAAAGATCCAGAGGAGGTTCATTTGAGAGACAAAAATATATATTAAATGCACCATATTTGGGTCAGTGAAAAAATGGCCCTATCCGGTTTTCTTAACCCTTACAAGGCTACAGTCTTCTTAAGCATAGCATTGCTGTTCAGTCAATCAGTCTGTTCACAGGAATGGATGGCCAAATATCCTTGAAATTCAAAGTAGAGATTGATGGTTCTCAGTAGATGAATCCTAATATTTGTGAAACCCCTTTGTCCTTCCCTTCTAGACCATGATTAGTAGAAAATTTCCACTTTCATAAAACAAACCTCAAAATCTAACATGCAGATTGGCATAAAAGCAAAGTCATACTGTCCTGAGGATCAGTACTTTCTATTTAGCTCCACCTTGAAGGCTACAAAAAACCTGAATCCTCAGTCCATTATTCACTGTGTACAAATTTTTAAATATTATGGGATATATGAACCTTGCATCTTCCTCGGGCTGCAAGCAAGCCTTTAGACTTTTGTATGTTTTCACACACCAAGCTATAAGATAGCAGAGGAATGCCAAGGCTGCATTCACAATCATCACAATCCTCCCTGATTGGCATACAAGGGTGAAGTTCAGGGCCAATTGTGAGCCACCACAGAGCAGCAGACCAATGCAAGCAAGCAGACTGTATGCTGTTACTGGTAAACATAGTCATGGCTGCTTACTGGAGGGCTGGCAGGAACCCTGGTCATTCTGGTCCCACAAACAGGCCTGTTAATCCCCAGCCCAAACTTTGCTTATGCTCTGGTTGATTCCAAATGAACAGTCCACATAGCCTGCTGGAAACCAGCCTGCCAGCTCTTCCCCTCTTTCTCTTTTGTTCATTAGATAAATTTGCTTGTAAAATTTGTTTTAGTAAGAATAAAGCACTTGACATAACTGCAGCAAGCACATGGCAATTTACTGCACAAGCAAAACGACTACACAATATCTTCTCTGTCTTCAGCTGCGTACTGCATTAACATACACTAGAGGAGAAAAACTGTCATGTACATTTAAAGTGTTTGACAGTTGCAATGTTATTGTAAAAATCATGAAACTCAGATATCAAAATGAACGTTAAATGTCCATTGACACCTAATGTGAGTCTGTGCTGCTAAAGGCAGGCTAACAATAAAAATGCGGCCTTGAGACAAGGCCTCATCTCAGTGAAATCACACCATTTATGTACAATAAGGAAAGAACCATTTTAACCTACTGGTTGTTATGTCTGTGGTTATTGGTCCATTGTGACTAGTGTGCTTTTATGTCTAAGTGAGCACTTGAACAAGTGTGGATTTTACTGTGTATAGTAATGTCTGATTTACTTATAAAAGTAGCTGCTATAACAGCCACTTGAGCACCGTTAACTGTTTGGCTCTTTTGGCAGTAAATAGACGCATTAAGAAGAAGGTTTTCTTAAAGTCCAGATGACTCTGTTTACCTTTATACATGTCCCAGAGAGAATGATGAAGAAACAGAGGCATAATCAAACACAAGGAATGGGACAAGAGAAAGAAAACCAGTAGAAGGTGACATTTAAAGGCAAATGAATGCTGGAGCAGGATCCCAAACCTATGACAAGTCTTAAATCAAATTAGAGGAAAAGTGAAATAGCTGCGCTTGGATAAACACACACATTGCTCTCTGTCTGGTGCCTGGACATCTTCCAGACACAGTAAAGCTCCTTGGCTGGGTTTGAGACGGGGAAAAAAACACAGCGCTGGACACTTAAATATATCATTTGAGGGCCCAGTTGAGCATATCAAAAATAAAGTACAATGTCAAAAACACACTGCAGAAAAGTTCATTTGTGTCTCAGTCCAAAGGGCACTTGAAAGGAGCCTGATGGAGCTGTTGCTTGATTTTATTTATTCCAGCATCTCACAACCATGGAAGACTTTCCATTTGGTGACTAATGTGAAGGCAAAAGCATAAATTGCACAAGACCTTTTTAATGGCTCAGTACTTCTGTTTATGACACAGTGTCAGAGGGATTACATTCATGTTTCTCTTCAAGGACCTGGCAACTGAGGTCAGGTCCTTTGGGAGAAGCTTCCAGATCCACATATTCTCTGAGACTAGTCACTCCACAAGCTAAATCATATCAACATGACTAATTGCTATTGTGAACGTCGACTAAAGTGGTCATAACCATTCAGGTCACAATAAAACAACATAAAAGTTGAACAATGAAATGTATTCATTCTACATTAGTTAGATGGTTAGG